AGATTTATTTATTTGTGCATACAGAACTAGGTACAGTCCAGAGGCTCAGGAGTGGTGAGAGGATTCACCAGAGACAGAGTGGGGAGCAGAACAGGCAGATCGATGAAGTACACTGCTGAGGGGAGCAGCGGGCAGGTCAGGAGAGGTCTGCCACACCATGTGGTCACCTCCCGGGCAGGCGGGAATTGAACTCATGCGGAAGTGGCTTTAGCTTTTCAGTGTTGTGCTTTAATCCGCTGTACCACCAGGGAGGGCCCACTAGGGTGATTTTTAAGGAGCAATGATTCTCTACAATGGCCTCAATCTCCTTTTTCCCACCTCTGGTCCGCACCTCTGGAACTTTCTATACCAATCTGAACTTTCTAGAACAGTTGGTGCCTAAGGATTTTTCATTTCAACAGCCGGTTCTATGAAGTTAATCATCTTCACCTCCACCTCCAGTTTCTGGTGTCTTGTGACACCAGTTTCTGGTATTGTGATGTCTCCTTCCCAAATTTTCTGCTGTTCTCCAGTAATAGGATATTTTAAAAAATATTTATTTATTTGTTCATACAGAACTGGGGTACAGGTCAGAGGTGAAGGAGTGGTGTGAGGATTCACCAGAGACAGTGTGGGGAGCAGAACAGGCAGATTGACAAAGTACACTGCTGAGGGGAGCAGCCAGCAAGACAGGAGAGGTGTACTGTGCCATGTGGATCCCTTCCCTGGCTGGGGATCAAATTTGTGCAGAAGCAGCTGTGGCTAACTTCGCAATGCTGGCTGGCTTTAACCCATTGCAGTACAAATGTCATGATCTAAACTTTACTCTGGATAGATAACTTGGGGAAGTGATTTTTTAGAGGTTGAGAGAATGACACTAAGAGCAAGAAGAAATTCACCTTATTCACAGCATCACATTCAGAAGCTCTAGCCTGACTGACAAGGATACAGCTGTTGGGCTCGGACAGGCTTCTTTTCAGACCTCAAAAAGATGAATCAGTCCTTATATTTAAAGCTTCTAGGAAATGAGCCATAAACAAGCAGTAAAAAGAAAGATAAATAATATTCCTAAAATTTAATTAATTCCTCTCTTTCATTTTGCCTGGCTTAATGTTAAGCTCTGCTCTTGATGGGAACAATCTAGACATTGTTCCATTAGTATATTTCACTTTTATATCAAGTCTCAAAATTTACTGGTTTTATTTAGGATAATGCACTTGTATTTGGCATATTTATATCATTCTCATTTATTATTAAAGGCAATGTGATGTTTAGGTATTGAGGATCAATAAGCCCTCCATAATGTTTATGCCATCATATCTTTTATGGCAAGCTCAGAGTGTTTCAGGTTTGTTTTTATAGGTGGTTTTTTAAAAGGCAATTTTATAGCCTTTACTCCACATTGGATAAAAAGCTGGATTACAGATGTTCCTTGCTTATGTTTGCAAAAGTCTTCACAGGGCCACACAGTTATACAGAAGAAATTTTGAATAATTATTTAAAGTCGATGCTATTATCATTTGTGAAGCGTTTCCTTCATGAAGATTAACCATCATATAGAAACTTTAATGCAGCCTTTTAAATTTGATTTTCTTCTTTTTCTTCTCTTTTCCCATTTTTTTTTCTTTCTTTCTTTTCTGAGGTGGTAATTACTTCATAGCTTTGCGACTGCCTTTCAATATTTACAATTACTAAATGGGCAGATCCATGACTGTAAAGAATTGATCATTTGACTTCACCTAGTATGGTAAACAAAAGCTCATGGTATAATTAGAATTCAATTTTTTTTTTGGCTTACCATCAATTTAAAAATTATTTAAGGTGAGGTTCTCCACTCTTCTTGTATGAAAGGTAAATGTGTTATGATGTTTAGTATATAACATCTGTTTTAAAAATCCTATATTTAATCTAGGTCGTGCCATATAAAATTGCTTTATTTGTAGGTCAAAAACATGATCACATGGCAACAATTTCATATGGCTTAACCTAAATTAGATTAAAGTTAATTCCCCTCTTATTCACCCCCAAGGACTGGTCCCCAGTCCACTAAATAGACATATTGTTTCCTCCCAGAGAATGTACAACTCCGTGAAGCCCACCCTTGCAGGATAGAATTCTTTTAGTGGTGAAGCAGAATAGCTCCTCTATAAGAATTCTCAGTACAGAAATATAAAATCCATTGTAGTTCTAAACATAAAAATTGAACAGGATGGTTGGGACATACAAGCAATTGATTGTTACCTCTTTCTCTACAGAACTGAGTTGCTGGCACAGATCCCGCCTGAAGCAGTGATTATAATTCCAAAATCGCCTGGTAGATTTTCTTTCTGAAGTTGTGGAACAACTTCACAAAAAATGGCAGCTGCACTGATTTCCACAAATAGCTGCACAAATTAACATTTTTTATAGTAAAATAGATAAATGAATGTTAAAGTAAAACTAAATATCCAAAAGACTAGTAAATATTCACAACTTAAAACATGTCAAGTATAAGAAGGTGAAATGGTGGACAAAACAGGTGCAAGAGAAGAAAGCAGATCGTGGGAAAAAGAGGTGAGCAAGGGGACCATAAGATCAAGCCTGTGATTTCAGGGGTGACAGTGCAGGAAGTGGGGTGCCAAGAGGCTAGGCCTGGTTCCAGTTAAAAACTGGCCAAGGAAGACTATGGATAGTACAAAGAGAGAGAAAGCATTAGAGATCTTTTACTTAGGGATGTGAAATGGGACCCCACTGTGAAACTTCTCCAGCAATAGCACTCTCAGAAAGGAAAGAACACTGGCTTGAACTGGAGAGTGTGTGTTCTGATCTGCTAACAAGCAAGCGACCTTGAACAAGTCACTTAGTCTCTCCTTTCCTCTTTATACAAACTGGGATTTGGGGCTAAGCATGTTGCTAGTTTTAATTTTATGGCTCCATAAAATTTTATTGATCAAAGTGAAAGAAGATGAGAAGAGAGAGAAGGGGGAAAGGGAAAGAATCCTCAGAGGGGAAAACAAACATGGTCCATGTGGAGAAGCAAGTCATTACTGGGTGCACTTTCAATGGATGTAGAAGGTCTTGCAGCAAGAAGAGACTTAGTAGTCTCTCTAATCTCTGGTAACTCACTTAGGAAGATCAACTACTGAAAGGATTGCACCCATGAAAATTTATATTTTGTGATGGATAAAAGATCACTTTCTTTTAATAAATTTACACTGATTTCAAGATATTCTCTATTGTCCAGTAAGATAAAACACCTCCTTATCCCAACACAGCTCACTGAGGGCTCCTATGTTGTCTTGGAACAGAATCATGACATTTCACCTTGATGTTTGAATCTAGTTTTTAATCTTCCAGGACCATTGCTTTTTGGGAGAATGAATTTGTTTTACATATAAACATGTACATGGAAGTGTGTGTGTGTGTGCTTATGTCACAATTTAAAAGTAGAGGTGACGGACCCTCCCTGGTGGTGCAGCAGGTTAAAGCACAGCACTACAAGTGAGCTGCAGCCGCTTCAGTGCCAGTTTGATCCCCCGCCCCGGAGGTGATCCACATGGTGAGGCAGGCCTCTCCTTCCTCGCCCCTGCTCTGGTGAATCCTCTCACTGCCCCTGCGCCTCTGGCCAATCCTCTCACGGCCCCTGCGACTCTGGCCTGTACTTCCAGTATGAATAAAAAA